GATAAACTCACCAGCAATTTGCGTTATTCAGATAACACAACCCTGCTTGCTGAAACTGAGGAGGACCTGAAGCACTTGCTGCAGAAGGGCAAGGACTGCAGCCTTCAGTATGGATTGAAGGTCAACATCAAGAAAACAAAGATTTTCATTACTGGGCCAATTGACAGAATCATGATAGATGGTGAAGAGATTGAGATTGTTGACAGCTTCAGTTTGCTTGGCTCTACAACCAACACTCTTGGTACCAGAAACCAAGAAATTAAAAGACAAACTGCACTGGGAAAGTCTGCTGTCAAGAGACCTCTCTAAAGTACTGAAGAAAATTATGTCAGTCTGGAGTGCACCTGATATGGGCCATGATCTTTGCAATTACTTGCTATGCGTCAGAAAGCTGGACAGTGACTAAGGATGATAGAAGGAGAGTTAATGCCTTTGAGCTGTGGTGCTGGAGAACAGTATTGAATGTACCATGGACTGCTAAGAGAACAAACAAATTCATCCTGGAGAGGGTGAGATCAGGCTACTCCTTGGAGGCAAGGATTCTGAAGCTTCATCTGACATACTTTGGACATGTTGCAAGATGGGATCAGTCATTGGTGAGGGACATCATGTTTGGGAGGGTGGAGGGACAGCGCAAGAGAGGAAGACCCTCTATGATATGGATTGATTCAGTGATTGGGGTAATTGGAGGTAGGTGCGTGGGAGACAATAAGATTGGCACAGGATAGAGCAGGGTCTTAGGACTGTTGTACATAGGTTCACTATAAGTCACAGGAGACTCAACAGCACATTACCAACAATAACATGTTATTGTTTATAGGCCCCTCTGTTGTTTGCCTGAAAGTTGAGCCTCATGAGTGAGTTTTGTTCTCAGTTCAAAGAGTGAGGATTATGAGTCACATTCTTGGTGATGGTGGTTTGCTGGGGGGTGAGGTGAGGGAGATGTGAAGTCATGTTAGACCAGTAAACCTGACCAATTTTAGTGTTTTACTTTTCCTTCCCACATTTTTTCATTTCTCCTGTAATTTTTGTTTATTGTGTCAGGTATCAGTCAAGATATATTTTTTCCTCTATGTGATTATGCAATTGACTCAGTAACCATTCTCTTCTCAAACCACATCTTAGCTTTTTAATAAGTCTTTTAATACTTGGTAAATTCCCTAGTTTTAATTGCACATGTTGGTCTTTGCTGTTCTTGAACCTTTCCATCTAAACAGCTTAGGTTTTGAGTGTTATATTGAATCAAAGGGTATTGAGTTGACATTTTAACAGTATCAGGTCTTCAATCTGGGAATATAAAACAGCCTTCCATTTATTTAGGTACTGTTTAATTTTAGTCATGATTTGTAGTCTTCAGGGTAGAAGTCTTATATATCCTTTCAATGTATTTATCTCCCTCATTCCTGTATTATAAATGGTATAATTAGTGTTCTTTTACTTGTGTTTATATCTAGAAATATGCTTATTTCCTTGTTAACTTTCTACCTAGTAACTTGTAAAGTTAACTTAGTAATTCTAATAGGTTGTTTATGAATTTTCTGTGTACATGGAATTTCTGATTTCCGTGTTTTTAAACTTCTTTGCCTATTTTTCATAATAGTTAGGATTTTTGGATGCAGTATTCTTGTGTATGCAATGGAGAATATTATGATTTAAGTTCTCAAGTTTTTCTGTGTTCTTTATTTCCTTTTTGGGGGATTTGTTTCTGTTGTTTTTCACCTTGTTCTTTCTCTTAATATGTATGTTATTCCTTTAAATATGGTGAAACCTATGAGAACTGGAACTCGATAGAGCTGTCTTATTCTCCTCAAGTCTCTCAAATTTTCCATCTTTGACAGAGTACAGTTTTACTTCTCTTCGATCCCTTCTTTTAGTGAAACATACTTGAGTCTTTTTTCTCTGACAGGTTTTGCCTCACATGTTCTAACTTTTGTAGAATTTTACTTAGTGGCCTTTGATTATTGAATTCATATTTACGAAGATTCAGGATGTTTGATTGTGATACCAGATACTGGTTTCCACTCAAATGATTTGAGAAATTTTTTAAAAAATTGTTTCTTTTCCAAAAGAGCTTTTCCTTAAATGTGTTTTCTGGTTGAGAGCTATCCACATAAGCTTATTTACTTAATGGTTCAGCAGTAGAATAGATAGGTTGAGACTCTATAAATGTCAGATTTTTATATATTCTTGGGACTAAATGGTATAGTAATTCTACTGTGGTTTGCTCCTTTGACCTTACACCTCCTTTCCCCGTTTGGAGCAACCTTGGGCTCAGCCCTGCTTCTCTTTTGTCCTTACCACTCATGTGGATGCTTTTCTCAAGCAGATCTCTGATACTGAGCCTGGGTGCCAAAGGTGATACAGGAAGTAAGACTATCATGATTGACTCTGCTCTTCTGTGAGCTATCCTTTAATTTCCTTGGTTTCCTTATGTTTTAATTTAACTGTTTGATCCTGACCTTGGTCTTTTCTCTTGGGTTCTATTTAGGGGACTGGCCTGGACAGCTCTTGCCTCTTTATAGTCTTCCCACTGCCCGCACCCCCCATGTTTGTTTTCCTCTGGATGCTGTTTATTCTTCTGCCAAGGCTTCTCTGTTAAATCAGGCCTATCTGTTTTCTTTTAGAAAGAATAAGAATTTACTCATTTTTAGAGGGAGCTTGTTAATCGTACTATTTCTTATTCTTAGGTTGTTATAATTTTTCTTTTTTAAGTTATGAAAAATTTGAGACGAAAGTGTCACACTTATTCCTGAGCTAAATGAAAATGTTACAGATATAATTGAAATTCCTTATTTTCTCCTCTCATTGTATTTTACTCTTTTCTATTCATGTGTTAATATTGTATATATTTATGTGTGTTTCTAAACAATAGTGTTGTTTTAAATATATTTGTGCTTTATGTAATGACATTGCATTAATCTCTCTGCATGTTTTTTATTTTTCATTCATCATGGCTTTTTGTTTATTCATTGTCTTTGTACATCTTTTTGCTATTTTAGGAGTATTTGGGTAAGGAGATTAAGTCATCCAACCCATGTATTTCTTACTATGACTTTTTTAAAGATTTAAGCACCTTTTGAAAACTTTTGACATTACCAGACATGTTGGGGAAAAGACTTGGTTTTCTCTAATAAGTGAATATGAAACTTAGCCATATTATACAAGCTAAGCTTTTGTTTGTTTGTTTTTTTAAATTTTATTTTATTAATTTTAATCAACATTTACAGAGATTTTGGGTTTTTTTTTTGTTTTTTTTTTTTTGAGATTTTGGATTTTCATTCATTCATTGTTTGACTGTTTTTAAGACTCCTTTCTGGAACATGGAAAGCCTTGGGGTGCAGTGGTGAAAGCACCTACTTGCTAAAAGGGCCAAGTCAGTCATTCGAACATGCTCCTCAGGAGAAAGGCGTGGCAGTCTGCTCCTGTAAAGATTTACAGCCTAGGAATCCCTATGAGGCAGTTCTGGTCTGTCCTACAGGGTGGTTATGAGTCTGAAGTGAATCATAGCAGGGGTGGGAGGGAGTTTGGTGGTTTTTTTCCTGGCCCACGTTCTAGGATTTCTTTTTTTTTTTTAAATTTAGGTTGTTTATTTTTCATTTCAGTGAACATCTACAGAGATTTTGGGATTCCATTCATTCATTGTTGCACCCTTCTCCCCGCACAAACCCCTCCCCCCCC